TTTTATCTCCCAAAATACATTTGGCAACATCTAGAGATATTTTTGCTTGTCACTGTTTGGGGTAAGGGGTGCTACAGGCATCTAGTGGATAGAGGAGCCAGGAATGCTGGTAAATATCCTACAATATGTCAGACAACCCCCCTAGAACAAAAAATTATATGGTCTGAAATGTTAATAATGCCAAGGTTGAGAAACCCTGAGTTAAAGTTATTATAGAAGAGGTTTTCAGTGTCCCGATTGTTTTATTGAAAGCAAAAGGAAATGGACTTTTCTCCCCATGAACCCATGGTGATTTTTTTTTTATTGTACTAAATAATATCTCCCCATTTCCTTGGAAAAAGTAATATAGAACACTGAACAAAATAAATAGTTAATTTGCCTCTTACACAAGGAGGTGGTGTGTTTAAGCATATTATTCAAATGTCTTATGAGATAGAAATGTAGTATGTACGTTGGAGATTATCAGAATTCTATAACTGTCATGGAAATTTATCACCAATTTTTTTCCAGGCATTCATATTCCTTCTGTTGGTGAATTGGTTTCAGGTTTAAGTGTACCCTACTTTTAAGCATCCATTGCTAATCTTATTAGTCAATGTAAGACACACAAACTGTTTTATTTTTTATCAAAATAAATCTACATGAAGCATTCTGGTCATTTTAAGTAAAGACCACTTTTAGCAAGGCACCTATTTCCTAGAAATCCCCTTTAAGTTTGAATTTATGTGGTTATGATTATGACAGGTTTAAAACACTGCACTTTTAGAATAATTGAAATGTAAACTGGTCACATGATAGCCAAGAACGTAGTATTAAATTGACATAGTATCGGTACATAAACCACTGCCTTAGTATTCTCATACTCAGAGAATTTTTTAATAGGGCTTCATTTGACGGTCTAGGTGCGCCCCCCACCGAAGCGCAGAGAAATAACCTTGATTCAGTTTAAGTTCGCAGAGCTCTTAAACTGCTAACATCCACCACTACACACACGCTTCTCTTTCCAGCTCATCTGAAAAAGCTGACTGTAAACCCTACATTTTATTTGACTCAAAAAATGTGCATATTAATTGTGCCTTGCATTAAGAGGCTCTATTTCTGGGTGAAAGATTGCCCAGAAAATCTCTAAATGATATATCATACGAAAATGACAACCACCACGTATTCTCAACATTAACAACTGAGCTGTACTTAATATATTTTTATTCTATTTAGTCTCCTCGCTTTAATGATACGTGATTCTGTATCAGAGAGAACCAGTTACCCTTTCATATACAGTGATCACAATCAATAATAGAAGTTTAAGTTCTCAAAAGCGATAGCAAATTGCCAGCAGACAAAAATAATGTTGATTAATTGAATGGGGATTACGGAGTTTAAGAGTAAAAAAAAAAGTTCCTCCACCTTCCGTTCTCGCACTCCTGATCCAGAAGCCCGTTCAGAAATATCCCCTTAGTTTGCAGATGCTAAGACGTTGGTCCGAACAGAGCCGGCCCCAGGACATCACTAGCCTAAAGCATTTAGCTTTGCAGCTCCCCTAAACGCCTGTCACACCCGCAGGTGCGCTCGCGCACACCTTCGTCTCGGTCTCGCTAACGCCGGAGGCTCTGGGTCGCAGGTGCTGCGGGGCACCGGCTCTTACCTGGGCTCCGGCGAGGAGGCAGCTGCTGAGCATCAGCCATCCCCAGACGTGGAGAGACGCCCCCAGTCCGGCCATACCCCGAACGGCTGGAACGAGATGCAGGGACCCTCCTCCCAGAGCCGGGGAGAAGCTCCAACTCGCCAGCTTGGCTGGCGCGAGGCAAACTTCTGGCCAGGAACGAGGCGCAGCTGGAGCGGCCAGTGCCCGGGTCCTGCAGCGTCGCTGTTCAGGGTTGGTCTAGCCTTCCGGGGTGAGCGGCTCGAGTCCCGGGCTCGCCGCCCACGGTGGGAAGAGGGGAGCTCCCGCGCCCCGGTTCTGAGTGCGCCCCGCGTGGCCGCAGAAGCGCCTGGCAGACGCTCACGCTCCTTTCTTGGAATCACTCAGTCCCGCAGCGCAGGGGGTCCTAGGGCAACGGATCCGGAGGTGTTGCTACCGCCACCCGCAAGGCATAAGGTCTCTGCTTCCCCCCTCTCGGTCCTGGGTCCCAACGCCCTGTCTCTAGGGGCGCCCTGAGATCTCGGAGAGAGGACGGAAAGTTCCCTCCTGTCCTTACGTGCGCTGACCATCAGCCAACGGGATACAGGACAGTGAGGTTCCAAGCTTCCGAGGCCAGGAGGGTCGTGTATCTGCGGCTGTTCACTGAACAGTTTCTACAGCCCTCTAAAGTTCTCTGATTCATTTTCTCCTAACCACTATAATAATTGCGTGGGGGGTGGAGGGAGATGAGAGAGATAGAATATTTTTTTTTTCTGGGTCAACATTTCTTTGTATAGTATTGTGAGTTTTAAACCTAAGCATTAAAGACAAGTAATATTCTTTGACACTTTGTGTGTGGATGTGTAAACATCTTCATTTGGGACAAAGCCTCTTCCTATATTGTCTTTAGATGCATAATTATAAAGATGCCAAAGTCCTCGATTTACAGACATTGAGTCTCCCAGGATCTGATACTGTTGGGAAGAAATAATTCCCAAAGATGAAGCACAATAATCCACTGATCTCCTCTTCACAATGATCTGAGATTTCTCACAAATCGGCTTTCATTTGCTGCGAAAAGGAAAACGAGGTTTGCTTTTAAAATGTATAGATTATTGATTGCTGGCCAGCTCTAAAACACTTCAAAGAGGGGGCATATTTCTATTTCTACATGTCTGGAAACATTCACTCATCTCTATTTTAATAGCATTGTTTATATTATGTATATGGATTCTATACAATCTCGTGCTTTTTTTGAAATAGCAGCACCCAAATTATATAACATACATACATAGGTGCATGCCTGTAAAATTACCCAAAAAAGTTCACTTCCCACTAATTCCATCACAGGTTTAAGGTTTTTGTTTTT